ACAGTAGTTAACTGTGTCCCTGGCTCCTAGATGGGCCTTTGATACACATGCTCTAAGTCAACCTCATCCCAATCTTATAGGGAGGGTATTATTTTTCCCATTATAGAGATGAAGAAACTGAGGCTCAGAGTATTTAAGATAATGTACATACATGGCTAAAAAGTGGCAGGAGTCAGTACTTGAATCCAGGTCTGATTCAAAGACTGCTGCAATAGCATATGGCATCCATGTGGTGGGGGAGGGAGTTTGAGGATGGGGGTGGGTTGCAGGGGATGGAGAATGAGCTCCATATTTGCATATGTGGAGTCTGAGGAGGCTGTGGAGACATGCATTCAAACTCAGGGACTGGGAAATCTGGGTTCCCATTCTGATGCTGCTTCTAATGAGTTGCCTGACCCCAGACAAGTCACCATCTTTTTCCAAGTTCTGGGTTCTAGGTTTCTCTGTCATACAGATGAACACTGAAGTCTAAAATCTGTGCTGGACACTGAAGAACTTTAAGTCCCCTCCATCCAAACGAGAAGCCACTCATAAAAGTATAAATGGAATACTGCAGAAATCTAATGAGCATTCCTGATCATACTTTCTCTGGTGAGAGTGACAGTCATTACTGAAATAAAGTAGGTAGAGAAGAACAGCCATTTAGCACTTGCTCATACCTCTTGTTGAGAGTAGAAGGCCTTCCCAACAGGCTGCTGGAAGGCCAGCCCTCCCCTTTGCCCTTGCTTTATGTCAAACTAAATACCTTGTGAGGTTCACAGTATACAACAGCAAAGTCAATTTTGCAGTGAGGTTGACAAGAAAGTGTTAATAAAGAAAAGAAGCAAGTCTTGCAGACTCTTAATCAGAAGGTCTTTTTGTTTATAAATGTGCAACTATAGACCCTTAGGAGTTCAAATCAACCCCACAGAGTCACAAGACCAAAATGGAATTAGAAAATATCCCTCACTGTTCCAGGTTAAACAGTAAGATAGATGGCAAAGGTTCAGACATTTAAGAGATGTAATGAGAAATGTTCCCACCTTTCCCTCCAACTCATTCAAAAAGCCTAGGTCAATAATATGAAACAGGAGCATGAACATGGGGTGGTTATAAATAGGCACTGTTTGATGATCAAGGGTAATTTTGCACATAGAGAACAAGTACAAATAATCACCACCAGAAAGTACTGCTGTACTTCTGATTCACTTTTCAAACAGTTAAAATGTATATAAGTGAAAGAAATCTCAAAAAGCTGAATGAAGTGGAAACAAACCAGCAAATCGCCATATACAATTAATCATGATGTTTATAAAAGAACACAAGCGCTTGAAAATGAAAACTGCAAAAGCAGAGTGGAATTATATATTTGTACAGTTATCAAATTTTAATACAAAAAATTCCAAAGTGCCTTTGATGACCAAAGTCCACACACCTATGGGACTCTTTGGAAGCCAATGGTAAGTTCTGCTACCACGCGGCTTGTTCTGATTCTAAAGAGTGTCAAGAACATGAAATATGTCAGCATCTAGATTCATATTAAAGAGTAGAGCAGGGAAGCTCAGGGGATGGGGGGGGCAGCTATGTCTCAAAGTTAGTATATTCAATAAGGAAAGGAAAATGTATTTCTAAAGCTGGACCTAACTAAATAAAGGTTTCAACAAAACCAAGGTAAATTATCATCTTTAGGTTCTGATTTTTTTTTTAGGTTCTGATTTCTAATAAAGGAAATAGAGAGGCATGTGGAAACACTTCCTTTAAAAGGCACAATAAACAGGAAGCAACTACAATTGGAATCAATTGCTTGGATGGAAACCGTTCAATAAGCGAGCTAACAAGGTTCCCTTTCTTTTTTTTTTTTTTTTTTTTTTTGCGCTACGTGGGCCTCTCCCGTTGCGGAGCACAGGCTCCGGACGCGCAGGCTCAGCGGCCATGGCTCACGGGTCCAGCAGCTCCGCGGCATGTGGGATCCTCCCGGACCGAGGCACGAACTCGTGTCCCCTGCATCGGCAGGGGGACTCTCAACCACTGCGCCACCAGGGAAGCCCGCTTCCCTTTCTTAAATGTTTGTAGTATTTACTCCCAGTACTATTCACCTGCCAGGAATGTTACCTGACCAGACTATAAGTTCCTCAGTGTTTCAAGGAATCCCTTGTCTTGGGGGGTCTGACCCACCTGACAGGTGCTGAACTGATGACAAAGATATGAATGGAGCTCTTTTGATAACCTAGTAGGAAACACCTACCAGCAACGTCCTCTTTCCTTTAAATCAGTGATCCACAATCTTTGGGCATTTCAAACAGTTATAGGGTAACCACCATGCTCGGGGGAATATGGTTTCAAGTTATAAAGCAAGATCAGACAGATTAATTTGAGGGTAAATAGCCCATTAGTAAAATGCATGAAAATGGCAAGTCCATTTAAGTTACTTTCCTTGACAACCGTCATAAGAAACAGTAGGTTTAAAAAAAAAAAAAGGACAAGAAGTTATGAAAGATGGATCTTAAGATAAAAAATAAACAGATAATATTCTTAGTTGAGGGAGAAAATGCTTTTTACCTTATTTCTTTTTCAACAAAAAAGATTAATTCAGCTTAATACCAAAGGAGGTAAAACTTAGATGTTTTCTTTTATTGAAAAATTATACTTGTTATGATATAAAAGACAAAATTAAAACCACAAGCATCCAGGAGGCTGATGGGTACTAATGTGTTCCAAAAGCCAATTTAATGGAAAACTTTAGTTTACAATAAACATAAGTTGCACTCATACCATAAGACCATTAGAATGCTGACATACTGGACATACACAATACATATTTTTTGAATTAACAAATAGATGAATATATTTAGGTTTGTCATGCTGTTATTTCTTTCTCCTTTTTTATTAAACCAAACTGCTAACTCTTACGTATTTATCTATAAATACCGTCTAAAGAGAAGAAAGACGGCTGGTATTAGCAACAGCTTACAATTTTATAATTTTACAACTTATGATTCCTATTCAATATATCAAGATGGTAGAACTTAGAATTCTCCAGTGAAGTCTAAGGAATTTTTTTTCTTTATAATTTAAAATTGTAGACCATACAGAGTATCTTAGCAGCATATGGCCCAGTTTATGTGATCATCTGAGAATAATTCAGTTTCACAGAAAATGCAAATCTAACAGTAGTGCATTAATTCATGCCAACCCTGCTCTCAAGACAACCACCAGGGACCTCCCCCATGAAATCTATATGCATACATCTATTTAACTTTTATCACTGGCTCACTAAGTAAATATCAGGCTATAGACCACTTAGGTATTCATTATTCGCAGGCGAAGAGCAAACGTAAAGGCGGGCTGGTAGTGTCAAGTCATTAACGAATCAATCGATAACTGGTCCCCGTTTTAGTCTGCCAAAGGAGGGCAAAGATGCGTAGCATCTGGAGAGCAAGCTGTCAATCTGCTGCCAGGGAGCGATCTGTTTACAGCAGAGGGTTCCATATTTACACTGGCTCTCAAGGAAACCTGAAATTGTATTATGTCTTCTCCGGCTTTAATAGGTGTGAAAACAGATCCCCACTTTGATACTATTCCTCAGATACCCAAAGGACTGAGATCCCCAAGGACGACAGTGAGAAAAACGCTACTCTGTTGGCTGCCCGAAGTCTCTGAGATTGAGGCAGAACTAGAAAACATTTGAGTGCCTTACATGATGAGAAGCAAGTAGTTTAATTCTCAAAGCTCCCATTTCTATTGCTTTCAAAGCAAGATTTTTAGCATTTTTTTAGGGATCACATGTATTCACAGGCAGCTGATGCCCCCAAAGTTACCAAAAATGGTTCTAATTTTACAAAAACTCACACTTTCTTTAAGTGTGAACCCTGTTAAATGCCACCTCCACGGTGCCAGGCCCCCAAGAACATCATCCTCTGTACATTAGCTTCAGGATGATTGCCACTCCCGTCCATCTCACGTCACAGAGAGCCAATACACTGCACTGTATCTGAGGCCACCTGCCCAAAGCTTCAGCTAAGAGACAGTGAAAATGAAATGAAGAAAAGGAAGTTTGGTCACTGGAATAAAGTTGAGTTTCACAGCTGCTTCCTCAATTTATACCACGTGATAAAAACGACCGTCTACAAAGTGTCAGCGATGGCCGCAACAGAGCTCAAAAAGTACTGCCCATTTTTCCTTCTCATCATGCAAAACACCAGCAGCAAGATTCAACTCAAAGCCATACAAATGATGTTCTCAATTTTAATTATGAGAACTGAAGACACTGTCAGTTCAAGACATCCTTCCCACTAACAGCAAGAGGGAAAAAAGGACCCCTTCTCACCTCTTACTCATCTGTGACTCGATCTACGGGGAGAACGTGACTATTTGTTTTCGTATGCAAAAGCTAACATCAGTACACACGCACACCGCTGTTGGAAGCAAGTCGTGCTGGGTTTTAAGTGAAACTGCACTTACCCTCCTGTCTTATTTCCTGGGTGAAAGGTTTAATTAATACTTTACCCTAGGAACAATCCTCACAAGAAATAGCTTTATGGGGAGTAAAAGTCGTAACAGCAAGCTGCTCTTCCTGGCAATGGCAGTTTTCTTACTGTACTTTCCTTCACTTCCATGGAAATCTCAGCCCCCTCTCTCGATGAGTGTGGAGTCCATAAAATGATCCACAAAGAATAAGGAAAGCTCTGGAAAACATCCTCTTGTTACCTTTTCCTCTTTTCATCTAAGAGGCTCAGAGGACACCTTCATTCCAGAGCACAAATTAAAGCAGGACCTCATCACCGGAGCAAACTGCGCTGCTAAGTCACACCCATTACTTTTTATTTTTTCCTTTTTCTTTCTTCTGTTTATCAGGTTAACAGCTAAGAGCACACACCTCCAGGATGTTAGAAACAAGTTGCAACACGTGCGGTTCGCCCCAACCCCAGCGCCCGGTTCGCCCCACCCCCTGCGTCCGGGCAGAAACCAAGCCCACTTCCTCCCCCGCCGCCCCGACCCCACGGCCTCTTCCCAGGCCTTACCCTGCCCAGGAGGTTGTCCTGAAGCAGCGTCTCTTGCAGCACCGGGGCCACCTCTTCCAAGCTCAACATGTGGCAAAGGTCGGTGAGTTCCTCCTGTCCCAGGGACCCGGTGCCCGTCGTGTCAAAACTGTCAAACAGCTCCTTGAGTCGGGCCTCATGCTGGTCCTGCTCTGCCTCATCCATCCCATCGCCCACAGCGCTCACCTGTGCGGGACAGAGAGGGGGATGGGTGGTGGCAGCGCTGGAGTCCTGCCACCACCCCTCCACTAGCCACCCCTACCCCTGCCAGCCCCTTGGGAAGAACATTCTGTGTGTCCCGATCCCCTCATTGCTGGTCCATCGGGACCTTGTGAGGGTCAGCAGGGGAGGTAACACTGTACACCTCCCAGCGAGACCACAGGTCCCTCCAGAACCCGGTCCAGGCCAGGGGAGCTCCCACACGCACTCACACCAGGCGCACATCCACAGGGTCGGGTCGTGGTGCGGTAAGGTTACCAGAACGAGGGAGTCCCATGGGCAGAAAGGTGCCCTACTCTCCTGGCCGGCGCTCAGGCAGGCAGCCAGTCTGTCAAACTCAAGACTGAAAGCTGTCTTAAGAGACCTCTCAGGACTTAGAGAAGGTGAAAAGCCACTTCTGACATCCAGTCCTTCCAAATGAAGTGATTGTTAGCCACAACAGACTGCAGGGCCAGAGCTTCCACGCAACTCAGTGGGCTCCAGAGGACCTGCCAGATGTTGCAACTTGCCAAGCCGTTTCCTTTCTCTTCCTTCAGCCTACTGCCCCCCACAGTAGTCAGACTGGAGGGCTGCAGCAAAGAGGCACTGCATGAATATGTCTGATAGAAAACCACTCCCTGTTTACATAAGACCAAATGCTTCTTACACGAGTTCCTCAAAAAACTCAATTAACTTCACTGGTGCAATTACATGAGGTGTGACAGGAAGAGTATTCCCTGAAGCTCGCTTCAGCCCCAGGGAGTTTTAGGTAATGCTTAGTTGCCTAGAGAAAGGGGGAAACACAACTCCAGCCTTTCAGACAATGAGGTTCCAAGGAGCCACAGACCACATCACACAGAATCACACAGAATCTCAGGACCCTCCACTACCTAGACAGTCTCCCCTCTGTACTCCTGGTTAATAGGTCTTCCATCTCTCTGATCCACCCTAACCCCAGACTTTCCATTTTTCCACATTTCATGGGATTTGTGAACACACAGAGTCATCAATATCTCTCAGAATCTTTTTTGCTAAAAATATATATCATAAAATTCGAGGTCCCTCAATACTTGAAGAATGAAATCTGGTTTTTTGCTTGCACAATAATTCACTTTTAATGTGTTGGGTTTTCCAACGGAAGCCTGAAACCTTCGCATGTGAAGGTACCTTCACAATGATGCAATGGAAGCCAAACAGAACATATACCCTTGGGAGGGTGACCTCAGCCATCTCAAACAAGGCTCGCAGAACCAACCCCTTGACTATAAAAAGCAGCACCTTTTTAAAAAAGTATTTATCTTGCCAATATAATTTTTTATTGTGATAAAAAACACGTAACGTGGAATCCAGCCTATTAACAACAGTTTGAGTATGCAGTACCGTATTTGTTCACTACACACGCACTGCTGTACAGCAGATCCCTAGAACTTTCCCATCTTGCATGACTGAAACTCTATACCCGCTGCCCAGCAACTCCCATTACCCCTCCCCTAGTCCCTGGCAACCAACATTCTACTTTTAAAAGCACACCTTTAACTAAACCAAGTCCTGGGTCAAAAACTCTTAACTTAGAGGTGATGTTATAGGGAAGATCGTTACAGCACGGGAACCACACACGTTAAGATGCTGAACGCGGCCAGACCTGAAAATAAGCGAGCCTTCTGTAACACATCAGTGCTGCTCTAAGCTGGGTTGCTTTCTTTTCAGAGACAACTGTTCAAAACATGACGAGCTAAAACAGAGCCAACGACTATCCCAAGGGTTTCAGCAGAACGAGGTGAAGTCAGAAGATGGATCCAAACAGCTGGGCCACTCATTAAAGCAAAGAGGTAATGTTCTGGTCCAGGCTCCTGGCCTCCCAGGTCTCTTCTCCTAATTATCAGTTTTTCTATTACGGTGCTGCTAGCTCTGGCTGCCTTCCCAGGGTTGGTCTGTTGGGTTAACTAATCACCACGTAAATGTTTACAAAATAACCTGAGAGTGCTAAATAAACATCAAAGCATCAGAAATGAAAAGCCAAGGTGTTAAGCAAAGCCTCCAAAGTTAGGAATTTAGACAGGGCCAAGGCTTAGCTAATGAGATTCACTTAGCATCCACCCAGTTCATCATCACCTAAGATCTGCTGAGAATCCCCAAGATGCTCTGGGATTTTCAGGGCTGCCACAGCTCTCAGACTCACTCTCTGAGTTCTACAGTCCCCTGGGCTGGAATCTGACCAACGTCATAAAAGCAAGACTATTCTGCTTCTGCTTGACTTTACATTTAAAAAAAGAAAAGAAAAAAAAACCCTCAAAAGTGAAAGAATTCTAACACTTCCCCTTTTAAAAATTATTTTAAGGGGTGGGGATTTGTCCATCTAAACCAATGACAGAGGACCATAAAACTCACAATGGTAATGTATATCTGTTAATCCCATCTTCCTAATTTATCTGCTCATGGGTAACTGTAACCATAAGTTTGTTTTCTATGTCTGTGAGTCTATTTCTGTTCTGTAAATAAGTTCATTTGTACTTCAATATATAAAAAAAAAAAAAAGTCTCACAACATACTGAGAAGTCCCAATCTTATCCACAGCTTTGAATCTGATACGCTATCATGCCCTGCTCTCTGGGAGGTCACTGGATTTTCACTAAATCAAACCTCTTTCATTTCACAGCAACTTTCCTTTGTTATCTCTTTATTTCATCTCCCTGCTTCTCAAGAACTGTGCTTAGTAAAACATTCTTTTGACTTAACAGGGAAAACAGCCCCACCACTGGAGAACAAATGATCATATGGAAACATCCAAAAGATGTTACATATGGTGACAAGTTGTCAGTACCCTTCTAGCACAGAAGGCATTTTTACTGGCTGATTTTATTCCCCAAACGTTCGTCAGTAACTTCATGTGCAAGAATTATTTTTCTCCCCACTTGGCAGAAATTTCTTTAAGGGCAAGGTTCACAATTTCAATTTCTTTTATAGCTTCCCCCAAATGCATAGTACAGTCTGTTCTTCACACCAGGGACTCAGTAAACATCATGGACCGACTTAGGATATGGAGATTTCTTACGAGGAAACTTACCCTGAATGAACGCTACAGAAATGAGCATATGAAGACTTTGAAACACCTACTTCTTCCACAAGCATACCTCTACTTTCCCCATCCAACCCCTTTTCAAAGGCATTTTCAGTCTTAGACATATCTAAGCATAAGCAGAAAGCGAGCACCCACTGCCAAACTGTACCACGTAGAGCCATCTGAAGTTTGATTCTATGATTTAGTAATTAAGCCAGTGGATTCAATTTTCAGCTGCATTTTTGTTGTTATGGGATATGACTTTGGAGGAGAATCTGTATTAAAATACCTTCCCAAGTCCCCTTGTTTATAGAATGAGAATAATAATGCCCATCTGGCAGGTTGTTCTGAGGGTTAAATACGGCAAGAAAGCGCAGCTAATTCCAGAGAAAGTCGATACAAGAGGGGAATTGAGAAAACAACTAAGAAAATACCTGCGATTTGCAAAGGAGGGGTAAACTGAAGAGGGGTAACTTACATACATCAACAGGTCATAGATCTGCCTTCCAAGAAGCAAAACAGGAGCTGTGGAATGCCATAACCCAGAAAGCAAGAATGGGCGAGGGACATATTATAAATATAAGCCATATCGTATTACTAAATGGTAACCGTAGTAGGTAATGTTCAGTGTTCCTCAATCTTCAAAGGCAGATTATTGATAAATTTAATGTCAAACTAAAGCAGAAAGGCTGAAATATAGCTGGAAGTTCAGAAGACACTTTTTTTTTTTTAAACTTCTGAGCATTTACTCTAAGTCTGGCCTATGCTGAGTACTTAGCATACGTGATTTCATTTAATCCTCCTAATTCTTTAAAGTAGATCTCATATTCCCATTTAATATGTAGAAACTGGGGCTTGGCAAAGTTAAGCTACTTGTCCAATGATACAACGCTAATAATGGTCATGGACCCGCGATTTGAACTCTGGTCTGACTCTATACTATCTCTTAGTCCTACACATGCACACAGGACACGTGAATGGGACCACTGGAATGGTGTCATTGACAAATCACTTATCTCCACTTTTATGTGTTAACCAGCTGAACGATAACAAGAACGAGAAATGACCATGGAACACTTGGTGGCCATAAACTAAAGTCCTCCAAAATGGAAGGAGGAGGGGTGGGGTTCCTTCCTCCCTACGTGCCTTGATTCATTTATTGACTAATTATAGCCTATGAGACACTAAGGATACACCGAATAAGCATTCTCTTTTTTCTAAAGTAGCTTTGGGATTTAAAGGCAAAGAAGACATGCATTTGTACATAAATATGATCATGAAGAGTCCTGTGTCTTCGATAATGGGCACAGTCCAGAAACTGATAATTGTTAAAGTACCTCCCCCCACAAATACTTAAGCATGTCTAATCTGTGCAATTCAATGCTTTCCAGAGTCAGAGCCTAGCTGACACTCACCAGTGACAGGAATCTTCCTTAGAGATGAAGGAAGTTGGGTTTTGAATGATAAATCGTCCTTCAAATTGCCAAGGACAATTCCAGTTTTATAAAGCCTGCCACAAACCTGGGCCTCTCATCACCATCTACTTTCCCAGTCAAATTGCCAGAAGGCTTCATGACTCCTTTGGAATAAAAGGGCCAGTGTGGGCAATATTTTGGAGTTCTAACAAGGGACGGTTAAATAAGAGGCAGATGCAAAGAGCCATTAATCATAACAATTACCACCCAACAACCGCCCATAATAAGAACTATTCAGAGTATTTTCCTTCCAAATAACTCAAAACAAGGCTGCCAGAATGTGCAGACCCTGACAGGGAAGTCCATCAGAGACTGGTGTCACTGTGCTCCCTTTGGCAGCCCTGGCTGATGAAATCACAGTGCCAGCTGGGATCGGAAAAGAGCAAGGTGGAGGTGCTGCTGGGATAATGAAGTCCCCAACATAAGGTCCACAT